GCAAAGCAATTAACTAAAAATTAACATGTGAGAAACCTTCTCCACTTTCATTGTCACAATATTCTTACGACAGTCAAATTTGGTCTGATTGTACATAGTCGTCTCCTGAGACCAAATTAGCTTTACACATTATTCAAACAATATAGTATGACTTAAAATAAGTAAAGTGATCAAATATAAATTAATTCCTTCCAAAAACAGTAAGTTCTTTCTTTTCCGAGAGAAATTTAGAAATTTTAGGATTTGGGAATTTGAGAATTTGGGAAACTGAGAAATTGAAAATTGGGAAAACTGAAAAATTGGGAAATTTGGAAACTTGGCAATTTTGGCAATTTGGCAATTTGGTAATTTGGTAATTTGGTAATTTGGTAACTTGGTAACTTGGTAATTTTGGTATTTCGCAATTTTGGAATTTTGGAATTTGGTAATTTGGAAATTTTGGAGTTTTGCAATTTTGGAATTTGGAAATTTCAGAGTTTTGCAATTTTAGAATTTGAAAATTTTGGAATTCGGAAATTTTGGAATTCGGAAATTTTGGAATTCGGAAATGTTGGAATTTGGAAATTTGGAAATTTGAAATTTGAAAATTTGGTAATTTGGTAACTTGATAATTTTGGAATTTTAGGACCTTAGAATTTTGAAATTTGGAATTTTTGAAATTTAGTACTTTAATAATTTCGGAACCTGGAATTTATTTGGAAGTTTAGAAATTTGAGGGTTTGAATACATGAAATATAATTATTGGAGTTGCTTAGTTTCACTTACACCTGTACATAACACATGAGAAACATGTTACAATTACGATTAAATTACACATATGACATTGTTCTTTCACGATGTACAGAAGATAATTGATAATAATACCTTTTAGCGGAATTTATTAATTTGTAACATCCATTAATCATAAGGTTATGATCTTCCTCGTATACAACGTGCCTCGTCGATCAAATTTCTTCTGAGAAACGCGTTAAAAGAAGAATATTTAATCTACCAGATTAATGACAAAAGCAGTCAGGAAGAACTGTATACATAGCTATTTCCTGTCTGGAGATTTAGCTTTTCGTGGTATGAAATATTACGCATATGAAACTTTGACATTTACAGAAATTCATACTTAGAAATTTTTTAAATATATTATTAATTTCTGAAAAATTTCTATATTATCAAATATTCAAATTTTATTATTAAGAAGTTTGAAAAATATAAAAATTTTTTAATATTTAATATAAGAAGATCTCGTACTTTAACTTATTACATCTCAAAATTAAAAAATTCTACAATTTACAAATTTACACATTTTTATACTTTACAGCTATCCTGTATCATAATTAGAACATACTTCTGGAAAAATTAAACAAATTTCAAAATTTTTTCATTTCTATATTCTTAGTTTTTCAAACCACCAAAGTTGTGAATAATCAAACTTAAAAATTCTTAAATTATTAAATTTTGCAAATTTCCAAGTTTTAAAATTGTTAAAGACAAATATTCGAATACAATATTTTTAATTATACAAAAACCTAGTTTCAAATCTTAGTTTAGAATCACAAATCTTTAAATTTTGTGATTCTAAAATTTGTCACTTATCAAATTCTGAAAGTCCTACATTCTCAAATTCCAATAAGGTGAAGTGGGGTAAGAGCAGACTGGTTTTTGTAAAATTGGTATTTAAATGTAAGTATTTTCAGTCTGCTATGTAAATACTTAACGCTGTCAGTATCGAACGTTTTGCACAATTACTACTATTTAATTAATATTAACTAGGACCTTAATTTTCTTTATACATTTTGATTTTGATAGGAAATTGTTTAAAATGTCACCTACTCTGCACTTTCCCCGAAAATGGGATAAGAGCGTAACTTGAAGTTAAAAATACTTTGAAACTTTATTTCATGTGCAATGGGACAAAAGCAGAATTATTAACAAATCTGCTATAAAATGCTTTTCACTGCATTACGCAAGTACTCTATACTGCAAACAAGTACTCATAGCTGAAATATAAAAGGGGATATAGTAAAGCAAAACAAGGCAACAAACATACTAAATAAAGAAATTTCGCTCATATTGTAATAAAAATAGCCTATATACGCACTTGCCCAAAATCTAAAAATCTAAAAATCTAAAAATCTAAAAATCTAAAAATCTAAAAATCTAAAAATCTAAAAATCTAAAAATCTAAAAATCTAAAAATCTAAAAATCTAAAAATCTAAAAATCTAAAAATCTAAAAATCTAAAAATCTAAAAATCTAAAAATCTAAAAATCTAAAAATCTAAAAATCTAAAAATCTAAAAATCTAAAAATCTAAAAATCTAAAAATCTAAAAATCTAAAAATCTAAAAATCTAAAAATCTAAAAATCTAAAAATCTAAAAATCTAAAAATCTAAAAATCTAAAAATCTAAAAATCTAAAAATCTAAAAATCTAAAAATCTAAAAATCTAAAAATCTAAAAATCTAAAAATCTAAAAATCTAAAAATCTAAAAATCTAAAAATCTAAAAATCTAAAAATCTAAAAATCTAAAAATCTAAAAATCTAAAAATCTAAAAATCTAAAAATCTAAAAATCTAAAAATCTAAAAATCTAAAAATCTAAAAATCTAAAAATCTAAAAATCTAAAAATCTAAAAATCTAAAAATCTAAAAATCTAAAAATCTAAAAATCTAAAAATCTAAAAATCTAAAAATCTAAAAATCTAAAAATCTAAAAATCTAAAAATCTAAAAATCTAAAAATCTAAAAATCTAAAAATCTAAAAATCTAAAAATCTAAAAATCTAAAAATCTAAAAATCTAAAAATCTAAAAATCTAAAAATCTAAAAATCTAAAAATCTAAAAATCTAAAAATCTAAAAATCTAAAAATCTAAAAATCTAAAAATCTAAAAATCTAAAAATCTAAAAATCTAAAAATCTAAAAATCTAAAAATCTAAAAATCTAAAAATCTAAAAATCTAAAAATCTAAAAATCTAAAAATCTAAAAATCTAAAAATCTAAAAATCTAAAAATCTAAAAATCTAAAAATCTAAAAATCTAAAAATCTAAAAATCTAAAAATCTAAAAATCTAAAAATCTAAAAATCTAAAAATCTAAAAATCTAAAAATCTAAAAATCTAAAAATCTAAAAATCTAAAAATCTAAAAATCTAAAAATCTAAAAATCTAAAAATCTAAAAATCTAAAAATCTAAAAATCTAAAAATCTAAAAATCTAAAAATCTAAAAATCTAAAAATCTAAAAATCTAAAAATCTAAAAATCTAAAAATCTAAAAATCTAAAAATCTAAAAATCTAAAAATCTAAAAATCTAAAAATCTAAAAATCTAAAAATCTAAAAATCTAAAAATCTAAAAATCTAAAAATCTAAAAATCTAAAAATCTAAAAATCTAAAAATCTAAAAATCTAAAAATCTAAAAATCTAAAAATCTAAAAATCTAAAAATCTAAAAATCTAAAAATCTAAAAATCTAAAAATCTAAAAATCTAAAAATCTAAAAATCTAAAAATCTAAAAATCTAAAAATCTAAAAATCTAAAAATCTAAAAATCTAAAAATCTAAAAATCTAAAAATCTAAAAATCTAAAAATCTAAAAATCTAAAAATCTAAAAATCTAAAAATCTAAAAATCTAAAAATCTAAAAATCTAAAAATCTAAAAATCTAAAAATCTAAAAATCTAAAAATCTAAAAATCTAAAAATCTAAAAATCTAAAAATCTAAAAATCTAAAAATCTAAAAATCTAAAAATCTAAAAATCTAAAAATCTAAAAATCTAAAAATCTAAAAATCTAAAAATCTAAAAATCTAAAAATCTAAAAATCTAAAAATCTAAAAATCTAAAAATCTAAAAATCTAAAAATCTAAAAATCTAAAAATCTAAAAATCTAAAAATCTAAAAATCTAAAAATCTAAAAATCTAAAAATCTAAAAATCTAAAAATCTAAAAATCTAAAAGTCTAAAAATCTAAAAATCTCGAGATTTGTAAGCAGCAAAATTTTACATAATTTCCTAAATCTCGCCTATCACGAAGAAACTCTTTAAGTACGCGTAAAGAGTAATTCCATCTAAGAACATGCGTTCTACTTGAAGAGATCAGTTAAAAGGTGAGGGTGGAGGAGCGTCTTTGACCGAACGTCAAGGCAACTGGCACGACAGCGACCCTCGGCGACGAAGTAGCGGGTTTAAGGGGTTAATATGCTTAGGGTTTCCTTCTTGGCAATGAACTAGATATAAGCTTCTGTAAGCAGCAAGTAAATTCCTCGAGCGTAGCCGCAACCAGTTCGCTCGTTATCCGCCTTTCCTCGTTGCCGAATGTTCTTATGATCGGTACCCCTGCATTTAGATAAGTATTCACATTCATCAGCATCAAACTACCAATTTTGTGATAATACTTTTACTTATATCACTTTGAGGATATCTTAATCTCTCATACCTAAATTCGTTAAAATGATTTTCGAATTGGGTGTCATTATTATGTCATGAATGAATGATTATGTCAATAATGAATTCAACACCTTTTTTTCGCATATATAAAGTTAAACTTCAATATTATGTATATTTAATAAAATATATTCTATAACAGTGTATATGTAAAATATATTCTATAACGTATGTACGTTATACATATATTGTGTTATAGAATTTCTGTACAATCTGATATTGTTAATAAACATACTAAATTGAATGCAGCAAAAAAAGAACATTAATGATCATGAAATATCCACCCAGAACAGAGATATTATAGTCTTCAACACCAGGAGCCTAACAACTCATCCATAATTCTTTCCTAACGCTAATAGCCCGGAACACATTTATCATTCTGCTTGCCCAATCCTGCTATACAGAGTCAGAATAACGAATACTTAATCGTTGAGCGAACGAATCTGTCCAAATAGAAGCACCTATTTGAAGTGTGAATGTACTCAACTAATTTAGAATATTAATACTTTGGTGTATAATAAATTCTTAGCATAAGATGGACAAAATATATCAACGTCTGATTACCTGAAGGAACAGCATGAAGCAGACCCACTGATAATACCTGTACTCCTTCCTCTCGCTTTCGGGATGCAACTTGGAATTGTCGACGCCAGGAAAGGGCACCTCGAAGCCTTCTCTCTTCCTGTAGGCAGCGGTGATCGTGTAAGTGCTATGAATCCAACAATAAGTGTTCAACACATCCTCCGGGAGGTCCTTGCTGTGGATGCAGTCGATGGGATTGCCAACATACTGTCTGGTAGTGACGATCAACGAGAATGCGATCAACAGGATTACAGTCAGACTATAATGCAGTCTGAAAACGGCAGTGTCGATGTGCACATGGGAGATCTTGATCAAGCTCTTCAGGCCCCGAAATATGTCCAGCATTTTGGATCAGGGAACGACAGCGGCAAGAGGGTATCACTGGATCACCGACGACTCCAACATCGTCCATCGATCCCTTGGATCCTCGTCTTTCACATGTTTCGTGCTCGATTTCGTGATCGTCTCCCTCCTCGCCTTTGATCTATCTTTGAGTCGCTCGAGCAGGAATCTTGTCTGGTTAGGGTCGGTGCGACTTCAAAGATAGGAGCGAACGGAAAGGTTCGAAGGAACTTTTTGAAGTCGATCCACCGACTTCAACGCACGGTTCTCTTAAAAATGGACGACTCGCTCTGCTTCGAAGAGGGGATCGATCTCGACAGCGGAGGATCCTTCGAAGAGCTGGGATCCTGTGCCGTCACCGGGATCTTCCTGCACATTCTTCTTCGCAGTCAAAGCATCTTTAATCGCTGTTCCCGATCAACGAACGACCCTCCGTAACTTTACGTGTTCGAAGAAACGGACGTCCGAGTTACTTCGGACACGGTCACACTTGCGTCGGGATCACTCATGTTTTTAAACGGTCGCGAGGGATTTTGCGAATTCGTTTGATCAACGGGCGGAAATATCCGACCGATCACCATGAAACACCTTTCTCATTCACCGACAACGATCGTCGCGATCATCGATCATCTCGGAAACCTGACGCCGACGGTGACATTAGTTTGATCGGTAATGTTAACGAAGGGCATAAATTTGCGGAACGATCCACGTTTCACTGGCTCCTTTCGGACCCGATGCTCCAGCATTCTACTAGAAAAAACAAACTATCGTAGTCTGACAATCTTTACGAGCCCTGTCCGAAGATGAAGCTGTTAATTCGTGTTCGGCGTGTTGGAGTGAGTAAAACACGGGGAAAATAGGTAAAGAGGGCGTATTCGCGGGATTGTAACTTTGTCTAATTCGTGTGCCATTCTATTTTAGCGTTTAAGCGTACCAAAGCGATTTATTGCGAATTGGACAGGGCGAAGCAACGAACGCTTCGAAATACACCTGATGACAATAGACAGAAATACGTTTACTGAAATTTTATTTGTGGACTATTTAATTTTGTCCTGCTTTATGCTCACTTAACGCATCTACAAATTATACTTATTAACAACGTATGTTTGAAATTAATTAATCGCAGCTAGATGTGTTAGTAATTATTTAGGATAGTGTTCATTAATTTCAGTGACCAAGTATGATAGCAAGGACGCTATACTGAAAAATTTGTCTTTGTACAACCACTGCTAGGTCTCAATTTTAGAGGTATCAGTAATAATATTTTTGATGTAGTTATTATTTGCAACGGGACACGGAGTTCATTACAATGATCATGTATCAAGGACGTTATAGTGAATAACTTTTTTCTATGCATATAACCACCATTAATCCTTAATTTCAGAGATATTCACAAAAATACTTTAAATATTGTAATTGTATACAAAATATGTTGTCAAGGTCAATATTCCGAATAATTGTGCTTACGTATGAAATCTCTCGATGAACATTTGTGAGAAAATTTTAATTAAATGCACAATATATGGTACATGCAAAATAGTATATTTCCATTAAATCATCGGTTTGCATTTTTTTAATATTCCTAATGGTATAATCGTAATCTCACCTAACCTAAATTTCTAATATAATATAGTATATATACTGAAGTATACTATATTTGAGCTGTATGTCACATATGATGAAATGGGTATGTGATAGCAGAAAATATCACACTGAATTTTAGAAATTTGAAAATTTTGCAATTTAAGATTTTGAAAATTTGGTGATTTGTAAAATGGATAATTTGGATATTCAGTAATTTAAAAGTTTGGATTTTGGAAAATTAGAAAACTTGCGAATATTGGAAACTTGAGAATGTGGAAATCTTGTGAATTTAAGAATTTTGGAATTTGGACCACTTGGAAGTTGAAAGTTCACAAATTCGATAATTTGGAAATTTAGAAATTTGGAAATTTGGAAATTTGGAAATTTGGAAATTTGGAAATTTGGAAATGTGGGAATTTGGAAATTTGAAAATTTGGTAATATGAAAATTTGCAAATATAGAAAATAAGTTTTTGAAAATTTTGTTATACTCGAACTTCAAATCGATAGTACTTGATTGTTTCTAAACAATTTCACAGACTCCAGGGTTTAAATTGTCAAACAAATTAATTTCTTGTGATACAAATAAATGTCAAATCAGTAAATAATAAAGTCAGAATTAAAACACATATAATTTATGAAAAAATACAGAAAAGTGTCTTTTAACAAGTATGTATAATTCGTCTTCAAAAATACAAAGAAGTGAATTAACAGATACTCAGTATTAATAATAGTACCAATAATATCAGCAGATAATATACAATATTCAAATAATGACATTTAAGAAATCAAAAAAACTCATAATAACGAATGATGTACATACAAGACATGGCCTCTAATTAACAAAAAATTGTGTAGGATGATATATGATCATAAAATATGTTAAATGTTAGGTTGTCAATTAACCGACAGTGAAAAAATATTCGACAAGAATTTTGTGCTTAATTTAAAACATACTGACACTAACTGGTTATATTCTAGCAGACCGTACAAAGATATCGTGACGATTAACATTCGAATCTATGAATAGACGAAGAGAATTATTTTTAAATCTTCACTCTCTTTTCGATCAAACTTCATTGAAGAATGAAGTTTGTTTGTTAGATACCAATATGTAAATACTATAAAAATTATATGCTTATTATTACCTAGACCACAATTTTTATAACTTTTTCCGCAGTCATTCACTAATTGTTCTCTATTCGTTTGTTTCTAACGTTTGTAAAAATAAAATGACTTCAAAATATTTATGATGAGCAAGTTCTTTTGAATTTAGATAATGATATATGTAGATTTATATGCATACATATTTTTTAAATAATAAAATAATATATTCTATGTTTTAATAGATATTTTTATAATAATACATTTGCTTTAAATATATATTTTAAATATTTAGTGACAACTCATTATAAACTAATCAACATAGAATGCTAAATATTAAAGTGAATTTTGATTTGAAATATATATTTTACTTATATACATTTCTATATATTTATATATACTTAAATATATATTTTAAGAATAATACGTTTTAAAATAATAAACTAATATATTTTCTAATCTTCTTTCGCGAATATTAAAAATCTGGAAGAATATACTGTGAGGTTTTTACAGTATAATAAGTTGGTAAGAGTGTTATATGAATAAGGTTGGTAAGAGTGCTGAGTGAGTGAAGTTGGTATAAGTGAGATATTTTATAAATTGGTATGAATGTTAAAAGAAGTAAGAATCGGGAATTGCGCGGGGTTGAATAGAGTGTACCTTGAATAAGAGAAATGTCCCACTGATATATGAATATTGAGTAAGACGAATTAAGTATTGAAATTATATATGTTATAAAAAATTATATCTAAGTACTAAATGTATATTAAATATTATATAAAAAGAATTATTTAATATTTTCCCCACATACACTGTATCACAAAGATGGAAGAATTTCATGAAAACTGTTGTAATAGAGTAGTATAACGTATACAATAATTTATATAAATTATTATTGCGAATTACGTTGGGAATCACTGATTCAAGAGAATTCTTTGTACCACGACAGAAAACGCCAAAGTTTTATCATTTTAATGATGGTTATTCTTTCCATCTTATACCAAAATGGCGAACTAAAAAGTGAAACAAAATAACACACAGCAAATTAGTTTAAAATCTAAAGTAGCGGAATTCAGTGCAGGTTAATGCATTTTACAACTTTTCTTTCAATTAATTATTGCTAAACTTTAGGATTTAAAATCCTAAAATATTTAGAACTTTTGTATACATATATTGTAAATGAAAATATGAAAAAGTTCTCTAATGATTTTATATCATCAAATTATTAAATATCTGATGTTTCAGAATTATTTTGCAATAACTTATTAAAAAGTAATTAACTTAAAATGACAAATATTAAATAGCGAACTTTAATATGAATCATTTGAATGACGATAAAATTGTGAATAATTATATTAAATATTTAGCTGCAACTTATTAAAAATTAACTTAAAATATTAAATATTAAACAGTTAACTTTGATTCGAATGATTTGAGTGAAGATGCAATTATGAATATATAATATTAAATATTTAAAGGCAACTTATTAACAATTAAACAACTTAGAATTTTAAATATTAAATAGTTCATTTTGATGTGAAATATGTCAACGATAATAAAATTTTGAATAACTACATTAAATATCCAATGATAACTTGTTAAAAATTAATTAACATGCTAAACGTTAAAGTGGATTTTTATTTGAATGATTCGAATGATTATAAAATTTTGCAAAATATTTTAAATATTTAGTGACAACTCATTACAAACTAATCAATATAGAATGTATATCATTATTATAGTAATGATTACATCATGTATCATTATACTTCTATCATTACTATATTTTTTATTCAGTATTATAGTGAATTTCTATTTGAATGATAATATAGCTTTGAATAAATATTTTGAATATTTAGCAACAATTTATCAAGGACTAACCAACTTAAAATGTTAAATATTAAAGTTAACTTTGATTTGCATATTCTGAGCACTGATCAACTTGCGAATAATTGTGATAAAAACAATAAATTACAATGTTTGTATAAAGTATAATTAATTCAATCGATCAAAATTAAAAATCGCCCATAACTCTTATGCAATTCAGTCACAACAGTTACAGTATACCCCAACCTCTCTTTCGATACAACCCATAAAACAATGTCGTCGAGTAAATAAATCCCCTCACAAATTATTTTCGAAGAATACTCGATAAGTAGCAAATGGAAGATGATAGGATAAATGTGTCGGCAACGTGCGATTCGAAGGATTTGTCACCTATGAAAGCGTATTCCTCAACCCGGAGACAACAGCTGTCACATAAAACAACTTCTACACCCACCAGAAGTTTCCTTTTTATTTCTTTTTTTAAACGAAGACAAAACAGTAACCCGAGTAATATTTCGGTATAGCGAGTGCACCAGCGGTTGTCATACGATGGACGATAATAACGCCTCGTGATACTATTTGTAACACAAGGCGTGATTGTCTAAAAATAATGGAACGAATAAGCGGTCAAATTCGTGGAGATAGCCGACACTTTCCTTTTCGACGAAATTTTCAGAAGGAAAGAATAAAACATGAAATGTAGCGAGATTTCTTGATTAAGTCTGCAAGTACGGAAACCTAGCAGAATGATTCATTTCGAATTTCTTATGAAACTTTCTTTAAGGATGTAATGTTTCCTATATTGAGTCACATGGAAAAGATATATGAATAAAGTGAAAACGTATTTATAGTTTCGTATTTCCTATTTGAGATGAAATTTTTACATATTTAGTAGTGTAAAATTTAGCATCTTTTGTATTGTAAAATATTCACAAATTTTAGTAGGCTTTACATTGTAAAATATTCACAAATTTTAGTATCGTACAATTTTTATATACTTTACATTGTACAATTTCGACAAATTTTTGAAGTATAAAATTTTAATATACCTTGCATTGTAAAATTTCCACAAATTTTAGTATCGTAAAAGTTTAATATATTTTACATTGTACAATTTTGACATATGTTGCATTTGAAAATTTTCACTCTTATAATTATAAAATTTTCACAAATTTTGTATGGAAAAACTTAAACATATTTTATAAAATTTTTAACATATTTTGATTTAGAAAATTTTCATAAATTTTAGTATCATCAAATTTCTACAAATTTTAGCGTCGTAAAATTTCCACCAACTTTAGCATCCTAAAATTTCCACAAACTTTAGCATCGGAAAATTACTACAAATTTTAGCGTCATAAAATTTCTATCAAATTTAGAAGTCTAAAATTTCTACAAACTTTGGCAGTATGAAATTTCCATCAAATTTAGAATCCTAAAATTTCCACAAATTGTAACATCATAAAATATTCACATATTCTAGCATCATGAAATTTTAATAAATTGTACACTAAAACAATTTAATAAATTGCAGCGTTTAATAAAACAAACTGATGTGGTATTAGCTAGTTAAAAGAAAAAATTGTTTAAAATAAAGTCGTCGTATATTTTGAAATTTGATTTTATCACTACTTAATAAATTCTAACAACAAGTCTGAAGTTAAAAATACTTGAAACAAGTTTTCTAAAGTGAATTTTGGAAATTGTTTTAAGAGTTAGTCATTAAAAGAATCAAGGAAGCTATTTTGGAAGATGTTAAATATCATTGAAATAATTGTTGACAAACATTTTGAAATAAAAACTTTAACCTACTGAAATTTTACATTCTAATGGAATTGTGTGAAAAAGTTGATTCATTCAAGAAATTAAGCATTATTTTACAAATTAAGCGTGAACCAAATATAAAAATACTTGAAATTTGATATTTTACTAATCCAGCAATCAAAAATTTGACTCATTGAAGAAATTAAATATTTTACAAGCAACGCGTAGATCAAAGTAGGATACTTATAAGTTGATGTTTTAGTAATTTAGCAATATAAGAATTGATTCATTCAAAGAATTAAATATTATTTTACATATTAAACGTAGACCAAATAAGAACACATCAAAATTGATATTTTACCGATTCGACAGTCAAAAAGTTGATTCATTGATGAAACGAAACTTAATGAAATTAATATTTTACAAGTTAATCGTGAACCAAATTAGAGTAATTACAAATTGAAGTTTTACTAATCCATCAATATAAAAATTGATTCATTGAAGAAATTAAATATTATTTTACACACTAAACATAGACCAAATAAAAATACATCAAAATTGATATTTCACTAATTCAGCAATCAAAAAGTTGACATATTAATATAATTAAACATTATTTTGGAAACTAAACGCAGAACAAATTGGAATACATAAAAGTTGATACCCCAGTATCCAGCAATTAAAAAAAAATTATTAAAAAATAATTCGTTGCATAATATAAGATTGAAAATAATACATTTACTTTCCAAAAAACCGATTTTCAAAAACTGGTCACAATAGACATTGCATGCAGTAATGAAACGTATTGACACAAAAAATTCTGTTCAGCAAAGTGATAAAAGATATAAGAATGGATGTAAGCAATAATTTTACCAGAAGGAAAAGGAGGTCTTTGATCTCATGAAAGTTCCTTGAATCGCCATCGTTGAATTTCAAGAAAAGATAATTTTATGGAAAGTATACGAGACAGTTCGGTTTATGCGATTTGAAAAGTTAGTTACATGAAAAGTACTCGTGTTCTTTCGTAATGTGCTTTAAGTTAACATAATTTTCAAGATAAACGTGTTCCAAGTGTTTTCCTCGTCGATCAACGAACTCGCGTTAAAAAACTTATCCCGCCGAAACGTACGAAAACAATGTAACAAATCGCATAAATATCTTTCATTCAGTGAACTTTTTAAATTCAAATTATTCGAAATAACTGAGATACTTCTGTTACTGTAACAGAGACTATTATTTACGGAACTAATATTTTCTTTGTTGAATTACTGCAAATTATTGTATTACTTTTTATGTAAAACACATTTCATTTCATTCCTCTTCTAAAATCTGATTTTCGTTACAGATTTAGTTATGTTACTTTGTGATTCAATGTAGAATTCCAATTATTTTCTTTTCTATGAATTAACCTTGTAATATTATTTTTTTCTTAGCTTGTTTAGTTTAACTTTGAACTTTTTACATGTGACAATGATCAAAAAAATCAAAATGAATAAACCTATGTCAAAATTAAATCTTCGAGAAAAGCAGTTTTTGATCATTGCTAGTTTTATTGACAAAATCGAATATTTTTCTTGCAAAAGCTTTGTATAATTGCAACAATATTTATTTCAATATTTACTGATATTAGACTTAATGTAAACAAAGAATTTGTTGTAATTAAAAAATAATGATTTCTAAAAATGAAACATAATTTTTTTATTTCACTTGTCAGTTTAAAAATATCAAATTTGAAATGCGTTTTGCTTTCCGAAGTTTTAAAAAATTTCACAGAAAAAGGTTATTGGAACTAGTAAAAATAGACAAATATATCATAACATATGTATATTACATCATAAACTGTATGATTTCCTTTGTTGTATAGAATTTAATTCAACAATATTAAGAAACAAACTTAAAAAGTCATGATTTAATTGTTATATCTAAATCTTGCGAATAAACAACGAAACAAACTCTTAATAATTCTTTTTAGTTTATTTGTGAAACGATGTGTTAAAAAATAGATGACATAAAATCAAAAAAGGTGGACTTTAATAATTCATCAATTTCCATTACTACCTTTCTCCATGCAACTAAACTACAAAAGCTTTATTACACTTATTGCACTTGACAGAAATTTAGTATCTAAAATTTGAGAATAAAAGCAACTTTTAATTAAAAAACTTGTTTATGACACAATACGCTACGAAATTAATGTTGTAAGATAAAGGGAAAAGATTTCAGTGATACTCAATTGAAAAATATTTTTCTATTACTGCTTTCCTTTATTTTGTCAATGATATAAAAAAAAAATTATTGTACTGATATTTATCATCTAGTTATCGTATTTGAATCTAGAAAATTGATAAAAATTTTAAGAAATATTTACATTATTGTTAAATTAAAAAAGTTGTTTAAGAATCAACGTGCTATAAATTAATTACTGGAAAGCGAAGAAAAATTTTAATAATGCATCAATTAATGGGCATATTTTTATATCTAATTTTCTGTATTTAGTCAAGGATATTAAATAAATAACTATTATTTAATTAGCATTCATCATATTATATCTGAAATTTGAAAATGAATAAATATTTGAAAAAATATTTTAATACCTCCATAAATTCAAAAATCTGTTTACAAAACAATATGCTACAAAATGAACGTTGAAAAATTAAAAATGAAGATTTCAATAATGCATCAATTAATAAACGTACTTTTATTCCTAACCTTCCTTAGTTTATCAACGATATTATATAAATAACTATTTAACAAATATTTATCATCTTATCGCAGCTAAAACTTGCGAACGAACAATTTTAAAGAAGATTTACTTCCTTCAGCTCAATAGTCTGTTTACGAAATATACTACTTATTTATCAGCAGTATTTACTCATGTTTAATCTTCATTCACAATCTAATCCTTATATCCAAATTTTAATTCTAAAAAACAATTATTTTCTCAAAGATTTCTCAATCGTTCTTATCTGTCTCCAAAGCTTAACCATCACAATCTATCCCTTATATTTTAATTTCAAAAACAATTATTTCCCAAAGATTTTATTTCCTTCCGAAATCACTAAAAAATTTCATGTCTTCTCAAACCCATTAAAACCACTCAGAAAAATCGGTGATTCTTAAAATTATAGAGTCAATCAACCGACCAATTTCAAGCATCGTCATCCTTACTTCCGCTTTGTCATCCGCTTCCCTGCTGTCAGAACATCGACTTTAGACTTCGCTGCATCTCCTCGAGAAATTGTCGTCGTAACGCACGTCAAACGGCGCGCACCCCCCGCGCTTTTGTCGCGGACGTAACAAATATATCATAGTGAGCTCAAGCCCAGAAATAGTTGGAGTAATTGAAAGTTTTCCGAAGAAAATCGTCGAAGACAATGCGGCACCTCTCCAGACTAAATCTGGTGTACGCGAAACGAGCAGCAACTTTCATCGACGCGCACACACGCTCCGGATCGGTGCGTGCGCGATGTCGAGAACGAAAGAAACGGATGGTGAAGAGAAAAAAGTGGTGTTTGCGAAGGTTGTGCACTGGAAAGAAACACGAACGATTCGGATCCGAGGATCGAGAACAAGAAACGTGGATGTTCGCGAGGAAATTAGGCGAGTATCGGCACGCCGCTTGTCTGATCGCACGCGCACGTCCGCTATTTCGTTACACGACATGCAAAAGCACGTTAGAGACTCGAGTCTCGACTTGCCACGACTGGTCGTGTTTGCTAGCCAGGGCATAGCACCTCCCGTAGGAGCCGAGCGAGGAGTCAACCCGCTCCAGGAATAGAAACACCAAACCCGAAATGTTCGAGCGTAGAAGCGCAACATTAAAACGCAGCACGTCGTGAGAGCTGCCTCGCTGGATCAGCCCGCGAAAACTTAACCGACTATATTCTTATGTTTTCGGAATTACGATCATTTGCATAATGGGCTGATGATTGTTTGAATAAACACTTTTTTTGGATTTTGTGGGACGTATTGTTCGTGTGTTGCTTATTGGAAGTCATTCAATCGGTAATTTTAGTGGTTAGTAACATTTGTTTTCTAGTTTATAGACTTCTAAATTACTAAATTATCGGATTATCGAAACACCAAATTAATGAATTTGCAAATTCCTAAATATCTGAATTTGAAATTTTATTAATTATTCATTAATTTTATTTATTATTCTCAATTGTTCAGGAATCTTCAAGTTCTCTAATTAAGAAATTTTCAAATTTCTAAATTCCCAATTTTCCAACTTCCAAATTATCAAATTCTCAAATTACTAAAGTTTCAAATAAGCAAATTCACAAATTACCAAATTATCAATCTATCAAACTATCAAACTGCTTAATTGCCAAACTGCCAAAAAATCAAATTACCAAACTACTAAATAACCAAATTACCAAACTATCAAATTCACAAAATCTCCAGTTTTTAAATTCTCAAATTTCCAAATCACCAAATTATCAAATTATCAAATCCTCATATTCTCAAATTCTAAAGTTCGCAAATTTCTCAGTCTACAAATTATCGAACTATCGAACCATAAAATTTTAAAATTCCACACTGTCAAGTTCTCACATTTCTGAATCTCCAAAATTTCAAAATACAAATATACAAATTTCCAAATTTGCATATTACCTAATTCCTAAATTCAACCATTTTTAATTTTACAAAAGTCCTAATCTCCAAGTATCAAAAATAATAAATTTTTACCAGTTCTTAAATTTCCAAAACTCTGAATTCTAAAATACCTGAACACCACATTTAAATATTTTTAAGTTTTAATAAAAATTACTCCTTCATATACCAAGCCAAATTATTCAGCATACAATTCTTTCATTTCTTAAATTGCACTTGCCGCTTGTTTCATTCAATAAATAATTTAATTTTTAACGAATGTTAGTTTAAATTAAGCTCATTTAGGTCAGTTTTATACACCCTTGGACAAAAAGATAGCACGTGTATGCTATCTTTAATTTCTTGAAAACTACTTAGAATTTTTTAATGTAATACATACCATTCTAATTGTTACATGGCAGAGAGAAGGAACTTCTTAGTAAATATGGTTGACCTTGAGCAAGCAGAAGAAATATACAAATAGTGCCAGCGAAATGATAGCACATTCACAGAATTTATACATATATTTTCATAAAAAAGAAAGCAATTAATACAAAGTTAATAATGATATGATAATAATAATAATCCGCCTTTATTTTCTATTACTTCGAGTACTCGCTTTGGTAAGGATTTGTATAACATTTTAATTGTATTTTGTGGCAAATTATCCCAATCTATCTTAATAGCTTCTTTTAATTGTTTAATATTATCATACTGTTTCCCATTCTTATATACAGCACGTGCTAGTTCTCCCCAATAATTTTCAATAATATTCAGGTCCAGGGAGCGCGCGGGCAACGGTAAAACCGATACATTTTCTCTTTGAAAATATTGTTCTTCGACTTTAATTCGGAGAATTGCAGCATTGCCATGTTAAAAAATAAATTTATCAGTGGTAATTCGTAGTGCGTGTTCATTACTTTGTTTTGAAATTAAATTTATATATTTTTGAGAATTCATTTTTCCTTCAAGAAACTGTGTGTTTATTTTACCTTTGTATCCATTCCATTTAAATTCCAGTCCGGATCATTGCACCACCCCCACTCATTTGTCTTTGTTTTTTTAATAATCTTTCTTTTTTTAAATCATGGTAGTAAAATGAAAATGTCACTAAAAAAAATTCGTTTCCATTTCTTTGAAGACAAATGGGTGAGGGTGGTGTAATACTCTGGTAATACACATGTGCTATCTTTTTGTCCAAGGGTGTATATTTTTTGCTTTAGCTACTATATTAGTCGATAGCACCACAGGCGTAGTTTGAATTAGCAAGTACATTCATCAAACGCAGAAATTGTATTTGTTAAAATACAATTTTTTAAGAGTTTAGGTTTACTTAGTCGAGATTTTGCCTGTCGGGATTTAAGGGTTATCAGGATTTTGACTGTTACAAGATCACCCTTATGTAATATGGAACGACAAAGCAGTCAGCATTTCGTATTTTTGTTCTAACTTTTTAATAAACTGTTTGAAATCCTACGTTGATATAATAATCTTTTTTATTTTTACTGTTAGAATTACGCAATAATAGATTACTGAGAATAAATAAATAGATGTTAATTCGGATATACCTCTTAAGTTTGCGGTCGTATTAAGTTTATAGGGGGGTGACATACTAGAATTAACACGTTGAACGCTATGTTAGGCCTTAGGGACTGACAGTGGACTTTTCATTTCGACACCGCTGCATGAGACCCGCATTGTCAAGATTTAAAAAATATATGGTACAATTTTAATCCAGTTTATTATGGTATAATTTTAATGGACTTTAAAACATTCTAAGCAAAGATGTGGTTCAGATTTGCACATATCACAATAAATCATGACCTGTTTCATGAGTTTTCTCGCTACGTACGCGCGAATGTTTTTCTATTTGCGCTGTAATATTCAACACAACATTTTTGGACATCATGCGCCTTTCCTTGTTTCTTTCGTGTTCCCCTTCCACGGGAAAGCGCCCTAAGGGCGTACTGGAAGGGAAGGTCAGAAGGAAAAGAATATTTCTCAGTTCGGCAGTTCAGTAATAATAGTCGACCAGATTAGTTGGTTCAAGTTAGTTAATTCAAATAACACAGACAGATTGTACTAGAAACTCCACGCACATACAACTACACATTCATACACGACACCACACTATAAGACAAATAAATAGTTTCCCAAGAATCAGCTTGGATTTTATTTTTTCCCAATTCAGCTATTGGGTGGTCCTTTGGGCATTAGACGGCATTACTGTCCAATACCTTAGGAACATTAGAGCTCCTTAACAGAATTTATATATGATAGTTTGCTATATTCTTAACATCTACGAATAAAATATATTAACAAAATTTAAAATAAAATTTTATAAAAAGGCTTTGTATTTGTGAATGTTTCTGAGAAACGAAACACTGTGTATGTCAACGAACATTTACATTAAATGTCTTTACAACAAAAAGTACATGAAGTGAATGTACATATAAATTGGACATCTAGAAAAATACATTTATTACATAAATCTTGTTGAGATAACCAATTCAGACCGAGTTTGATTCACTATGTACGTTTTGCTATAGATGTATCTTGGCTCGCGCCAGATAATACATTCGATTTACATTTTATCAGCGTCATTAACTTCAGCGGTATCAGCCTCGTAACTTTTCACGGAAAACACGAAAAGGTATCTAAATACTTATTTATTAGATCATTTTTTAAACTGCAAGTAATAAAAATATCGTTGTAGGGACAAAAGCAGTCGTTGTCATTTTGCAACTTGTTTTATAATTTTTTAATAAAATTAGAAACTTTTAAATATGATAAGTTTCCACTAGATTTACACAACACGTCAAAATGACGGACCATAGATCTCTTATTTTAAATGACAAAACTTATTAAAAAATTTTTGTAAAAATGTATGTCAATTTTCGTCAGGTTATAGAATCAATGTCTTAGGCAGTTCATATATCATCCTCAATTTATTTATTTTTTGCTACTTTAGTTCAAATTTAAATGTAAGTGACTATGAAACATTTGTAAACCTAGTGTGAATAAAGTTAAAACCATATACAGATATTGTTATAACATTCTCTCTTTCTTTTTAAAAGTGGAATATGTTAGTGAAGTTTGGCGATATACTGGGACTCTCCACATATGTATATTTTTTATGTATAGATGGTTAAAAAATGATTTATTGCATAATATTAAATTAGTAAATAATGATAGTTTTCTTTTCATATTTAGGAAATTCTAAATTAGGAAACTTGAGAATTTGTAAATTTATGAATTTGAGAATTTTGAAATTTCAGAATTTGAGATCTTGAAAATTTGAAAATTTGTAGATGCAAGAATTTAGGAATGTGAAAAATTTAGGATATACAAATTTGGAGATCTAAGAAGTTGGAAATTAGAAATTTAGGTGTTTAGAAAATTAAATTCAGAATAATGTAGCATTTTTTAAATTTCATAATTTTATTGGTTTACGACATTAGGCATTTGGAAATTTAAAAAATTTGAACTTATCGTAATTAATAAATCCTCGTGTTTTTAAATTTCCAAATTTAGAAATTTTCAAATTTTCCAGCTTCTAAATTTATAATTTTCTAAATATGTAAATTTCCAAATTTTCAAATATCTGAATTCTTAATTTCTAAGTTCCCAAATACCCAAACTCAAATACTTGAGAATTCAAAGGTTCAAATTTGCAAATCTCTTAAATTCTAAATCCCTAAATTTTGCAAATCTTGGAATTCCTAAATCCTTAAATTCTAAATCCCTATATTCTCATATTTTCAAATCTCCAAATTCCAAAACCTCTAAATTCTCAAATTTCCAAATCTTCAGATTCCCAAATCTCAAAAATTCTAAATGTCAGATAGCCATAATTCCTAAATTCCAAAATCCCTGAATTTATCAATTTCCACATCCCCAAATCGTCAAATCCTTAAATCCCTAAATCCCTGAAACCCTAAATCCATGCATTTCCAATTTCCAGATTCCCGAATTTCCAAGTGTCCAAATTTCTAAATCCCTAAACCGCTAAATCCCCAAATTTTTATATTTCAAACATCCAGTTCCTCAAATTCTCAAATTTTCAAATTTGAATTTTTCCGAATATCCAAATTCCCAAC